ACCAGGATGAGCCGGGAGGGTTTGTGACCCGCCTGGCTGCGTTTTGGGGTCGTTACCAAGCACCCCCTCCCACATCAGCCCCACCCGGGCCACCACCGGCCCGGCCCGGCCGGAACGCGACCCGCGGCGAGCACAAAGCGCGTCCGGCCACTTCGGCCGCTGCCGGGGGATGAGAAAGCGCTTTTCCAGCGCAGGGATGGGGAATCGTGCCGTGCTGCCTCAGGCCTGGATGCCTGCCCGCGTCTCCCGGGGCACCCGAGCAGCCCCAGCCCGAATTTCCCGGCCGAAATCCAAGGCAGGGTCGGCTCAGGTGGAGCGGGAAGCGCGCGGAGCCCGCTCCTTGTCCTGGGCAGCTCCTACCCCGGCCGCAAACCTCTCCTCGCTCCCATCTCCACGGCAACAACCAGGATTTGAGGGATGATTCGTGCAGTCGTTACCACGCTAATAAAACCCACAGGCATCCGGAGCCGGGAAGCGCTGCCGGCCGCCGGGACTGCAGCACGGCCGGGCTGCCCCAGCCGCCACCTGCGGCCCGTCACGGAGCCTTCCTCGGCATTGTTCAGCGCCCTCCTGCCCACCCGCCCGCCCACCCCCAGAAAACACCAGCGGCAGGCAGCTCCCGCCTGCCTGGAGAGGGAGCGGGGGGAGAGGAGAGGTGTGGGGGCTGCTGCGGGCTGGGGGCGATGCCGGGATGGAGGAAGAGAGGGAGGGTGAAGCTGGGCTGGATAGAGGGTGGTGATGGGCTGGAGGGTGATGGGGGGTGATGCCGGGCTGGACTGGGGGTGATGTCGGGCTGGAGGGTGGGCGATGCCAGGATGGATGGGGGGTGATGCCAGGATGGATTAGGGGTGATGCCAGGATGGATGGGGGGGTGATGCCGGGGTGGATGCAGGGCGATGCCAGGATGGATTGGGGGTGATGCCGGGATGGAGGGTGGGCGATGCCGGGATGGATGGGCGGTGATGGGGATGCTGCCCGCGCCGCTGGTCCCCATCCTTCCCGGCGCTCCAGCGGGGTGGGAGCACCGTGGTGGGCGACGACGGCTGGGGCTGAGGCACAGAGGGCTCGGGGGAGGTGGGCATGAAAATCCGGGTGCTTTTTTTACCTCCCCCCCAGCCCCTGGAGCAGGGAGCGGCGGGTCCGTCCTCACATCCTGGCAGCGGCTTTGTCCCCGCTGCGTCCCCCTGCTCCCGGGGGCCCTGGGTGAGGAGCATCCTGGGGACAAGCCACCGCCTCCCAGGGCACCGTCGCCGCTCCATCCCATCCCCTGTCGCCCCATACCTGCTTCTGGCCGCCGACCTGGCGCGCTGGGCTCCTCCGGCGAGGGCAGCATCTCTCCCGCTCGGCCGCGGGCCGCCCCCGAGCGGGGCTGCGGGGGGGACGGAGCCCGCACAGCTCCAAAGCCGCACAAAGGAGGCGGCTGCCGGGCGCTCAGGGCTGTGCCGGGGCGGGGGGATGCGGGCCACGGGGGATGCGGGCACGGGGATGCGGGGCACCGGGGATGCAGCCCGCGGGAAGAGCCCGGCTCCCCGCGGCCAGCACCTCCATGCCAGGCAGGCCCTGGGGAAGGAGGGAGGGAGGGAGGGAGGGAGGGAGGGTGGTGGCTGCGGGGTGGGGGGAGGAGGAGGAGGCGGAGGAGGAGGAGGAGGAAGGAAGCCGAGGCTGAAGGCCCCGGCGGGGTGCTGGGAGGGTTCTGGGCACCCTGGGGATGGCGGCTCCCCGGGGCGCTGGGGCTCAGCGCGGGCTCGGCGTGGCGGGCGAGGGAGGATGCAGGGATGGAGGGAGGCGGAGGGCGAGCGCCGGCAGCCGCCTCCTCCCCTGCAGCCGGAGCCGGGGCCCTCCCGCACAGCTCCCTCTGCCTGTCTCCCCACGAACACGGCGGGCCCGGCTGCCACGGCAGCCCCCGGCCCCGCACCCCCTGTCCCACCGCCCCCGGCAGCTCCTGGCCGGGATCCCCCGGAGCATCCTGCCCGGAATGCAGGGCCGGTGTGGGGCCCAGCCTGGGCTGCTCCTGCCCCGTGCCGGGCTGGACACAGGTGCCAGGACACGGGCTTGGTCCCAGGACAGTCCCTGATCATCCTGTCTTCATCCCTGGCTTGATCCCCACTGAGTCCCTGAGTATTCTGCCTTGGTCCTGATTGTCCCTGAGCACCCTGGCTTTGTCTCTGCCTCGGTCCTGGTCCAGTCCCTGACACCCTGGCTTGGTCCCTGGCTGGGTCCCGAGCTGGTCCCTGATCATCCTGGCTTAATCCCTGCCTTGGTCCTGGTCCAGTGCCCGAGTACCTGGCGTGGTTCCCAGCCGGGTCCTGCTCTGGTCCCTGAATGCCCCAGTGTGGTCCCCAGGTTGTCCCCAAGCCCCTGCTCTGGTCCCAGTCCAGTCACCCTGGGATCACCCTGGGCTGGTTCCCAGCTTGGTCCTGCTCTGGTCCAGGCTGCCCTGGTTAATCCCTGCCTTGGTCCTGAATCCCTGAGCATCCACTTGTGGGCCCTGGCTCCATCCCCAGATGGTCCCTGAGCTTTAAGCCTGGCTTGATCCTGATCCAGTTCCTGGTGCCTGTGCCAAAGGCATCTGGCACTGCTGTGCTCCCTCTCTGGGGTGGGCAGGGGGTGGGCATGGGGTGGGCACGGGGTGGGCAAAGGGGGGATGGCAGTGCCGGGCCCAGGGTGCTGCTGACACGGGGACAGGTGGGTGTCCCCATCCCCTGGGACCTGGGGTGGCACCCCTGCCCCCCTGCACGTGTGCCCAGTGCCAGCTCAGCCTGGAGCACCTGCCCCAGAGGCTCTGGGGGGCTCTGGGGTGGATCTGGGGGGCTGTGGAGCAGCTCTGGGGTGGCTCTGGGGGGCTCTGGGGTGGCTGTGGAGCAGCTCTGGGGTGGCTCTGGGGGTCTCCCATCCCTCCCACGTCCCTGGCAGCGCTGGCCAGAGGAGCAGAGGCCCAGGGCTGGAGCAGTGCCCCTGCAGAGTTCCAGGCTCACATCAATTATGGATGGGTTCCTGAGGGGTATTAATCAAGGCCTCCTGCATCATTCATGGCCAGCGGTGAGGGAGAGCTCGGCTCTGCTGGGGCCAGCCCTCCCTCCCCAAAGGAAACCTGGGCTCCTTATTGACCATAAGAGCTGGGCTGTCCCCCCAGAAAAGGTTTTCCTGCATGTCTGGGGTCACCTGCACCCCTTGGAGTGGTTCTGGCTCAGGGCTGGGCTCCCACACGCTGGGAGGTTCACCCGAGGGTCACGAGCACCCTTGGGTGCTATCGGGGTGTGAGATTTTAGGGACACATCTCAGGGGAAATTTGGGATTTCCCCCTCAGCCAGGTTTCCTTCTGGCCCCTTCCCACATCCAATCTCTGCTGCCAGCCCCCCATGCCCTGCCCAGCTCCCCATCCCAGGGTCCCCACAGCCCATGCAAGCTCTGATTCTGCTGGGACCCCCGGGACACAGGATTTTCTGGGATTACTGGGACCCTGGGTTCTTCTGGGATTACTGGGACCCTGGATTTTCTGGGATGCCTGGGACCCTGGGTTCTTCTGGGATTACTGGGACCCTGGATTTTCTGGGATGCCTGGGACCCTGGGTTCTGCTGGGATTACTGGGACCCTGGGTTCTGCTGGGACACCTGTGCCTCTGGATTTTCTGGGATTACTGGTGTTTAGCCCCGGAATGCTGCAGCCTGCATGTTGACAAAGGGCTGAGGGGCATGAGGGAATAACACAGGATTACCCCTCTCTCCTGCATAATATGGCTGGGGGCAGATCCCCCCTCCAGGGCTGCAGGAGGGGGCAAAATCCATCAGAAAAGGAAAGAGCAGATTGCAGCTGTGCCCTTTTCTCCCTCTGCCAGCAAAGGAGCATCGCCCCTAAATCACCTGAGCATCCATGACAATGGCCCTGGCGCTGCTGCCTCCTTCCACGGGCACCTCCTCCTGATTAACGACACCAAAGGCGTGCCCCATCCAAGAACCTCCCCTGGAAGGACGGGATTTTGGGATTTCGTGATTGTGACTGATTTTTAGCCACCGGAGGAGGGAGGTTCTTCCATGGGAGGGACATTCCTGGCTGCAGCAGCTCTCCTGTGCCGTTCCCAGGAGAGGGGAGCCAGCATCCCTCTACCATCTAAAATCGCAAAAGGGAGGGAGAAGCAGCCCTCAGAAGGGAGGGATAAACCCCAGCAGGGTCCCCATCCTGCCCGGATCTCTCCAACCCTGGTGCTGAGCCAGGCTGGAATTGGGGAACGGGCGCCTCACCCCATTTCCTGAGGGTGAAGTGTGGGACACCCACCTCCCACTGGGAGCCAGGATCCTGGAACGGGGGCTCAGGGCTGGGCTTTGGGGGCCCCACAGGAGAGGGGCAGATGAGGACCCAGCCGCAGCAGAACAGAGCCAGAGCCACATCCTGTGTTTGCAGGGAGAGGCAGCGCAGGGAGCAGGGATCCCTGCTCTGCCCCAGGATGGAGCCCTCCTCCCGGGATGAGCTCTGCCTGGGGCTTGGGGACCCTCAGGAGCTGCACTGATGGGTTTTTTCTCCCTGCTAATTATGGAAGCACCTTTTTTTTTTTTTTTCTTTTTTTTTTTCCTTTTTTTTCTTTTTTCCCAAAATGCAACAGCAGAGGTCAAAAACCCAACGGAAATACAGGATGGAAAGGCAGAGAGCAACCTCAGCGAGGGCTTGGATCAGCTCAAATCTTTAATTAGAAAAATAGACACAAATTTGAAATATTCCTGATAGAGGCCTTTTCTTTTTACAAACATAATAATAATAATAATAATAATAATAATGAAATCACCTTTCCCAAGGGCCTGTTAGCACCGGAGGCCAGAGCCCGGTGGGGTCTCTCTCCCTGGGGAGAAAGGACGGGAGCAGCCGCAGCCCCGACCGTGCGGGCCGGAAAATCTCCAGGCAGGAACATCCTGGGAAGCGCTGCCTTGGGAAAGCGCAGCCGGGCGCTCCGAGCGTCCGGCGCACCCGCCGCGGCGGTGATTTCTGTCCGTCTGTCTGTACAGGGGCTCTGCTCTCCCCTCCTCGGAGCAGGAGCCGTAGGATGCTCAGTCCCGCGGTCCGGGATGGCTCCGCCGGCCGGGGCTGCCCCTCGCCGTCCCCGCCGGGACCGCCTCGCCTCCCGCGGGCCCCGGCGCCCGGCTCGGCTCCGCCGCCTCTCCTGGGGCCACCGGGAGGGAACCGCACCCCGGCTCTCCCCTGAGACGCTCGGGGGACCTCGGGAAACGCGCCTGGCAGCGCGCAGGCCGCGGCTCAGAGCGCGCCGAAGGAGAGCCCCACGGAGAAGAACCCCAAGCCCTTGAGCTTCTCCTCGCTCCGCGCCTTCTGCTTGAGGTGCACCTTGCTGTGGCGCTTCTTCTCGTCGCTGCGGGCGAAGCGGCGGCCGCAGGTGTCGCAGGAGAAGGGCTTCTCGCCCGTGTGCGTGCGGATGTGCGTGGTGAGGTGGTCGCTGCGGCTGAAGTTGCGCAGGCAGATGCGGCACTGGAAGGGCTTGTGGCCCGTGTGGATGCGCAGGTGCCGGTTGAGCTCGTCGGAGCGGGCGAAGCTGCGGATGCAGTTCTCCACCGGGCAGGCGAACGCCTTCTCGTGGGGCTTGGGGCAGAAGCACTTGGAGGAGCACTTGCTGCGCCGCGCCTTCTTCTTGGGCTCGGCCAGCGCCGGAGGGTTGGGGGGCAGCAGCGCGGGCAGCGACGAGGCCGCGGCGTGGCCCAGGAAGTCCGTGGGGGGCACGGAAGGAGAGGGGTGAGGATGGAGCAGCTCGGCAGAGCCCATCAGGCCCGGCAGCACCTCGGGCTGGGCCAAGGAGGCCTCGAAGTCCGGCATTAACGGCCCGGGCAGGTTGTGGATCTTGCCGTCGGCGAAGTCCCCGCGGGCCGGGAAGTTCTCTGGCTCGCAGCCGAAGCCCAGATGGGCTCCAAAGCAGGCGGCGTCCTCCGCCAGGCTGCCGAGCTCGGGCTGGCAGCTGATGGACAAGGCGCTCTCCATCTTGGAGCCCAGCGGGGGGAACAGCCCCGGGCCGCTGTCGGTGCCCGGGAAGCCCTCGGGAGAGTGGAAGCCGGCGGGCAGGTAGGCCTGGTGCTGCTGGGAGATGGGCTCCCACTGGGCACAGGTGGCTTTGAACTTGTCCAGGGGCGGGGAGCCGGAGGACAGCTTGATGTCCTGCTTGCTGTCCAGGAGCTTGGGCTGGAAGAAGCACTGGGAGGTGTTTCCCTGCAGGGGCTGGGCGCCCTCGGCCGCGGGGAAGGCGCCGTAGCCCGGCTCCGGGAACGGGGCCGGGCTGGACCCGCTCATCTCGGGCTGGCACGACGGGTACAGGTCCAGCTGGCCCTGAGCCACCTCGGCACAGGGGTAGAGAGCGTCCAGGTGCCTCTGGTGGCCCTCGGAGGAGGCGAAGGGGGAGATGCCCAGGATGCCCGACATCAGGTTGAAGAGGGATTCCTGGTCCTGCGGGTGCTCCGGTACTGCCTTGATGAAGAAGCTGCCGGTGTAGCTGAGGGAAGGGGAGGGCTGGCTGCCCAGCAGGGAGTAATCCACGGCCCCGCCGCTGCCGGGGACACCCAGCAGCTCACCTGGGAAACAGAGGAGACGGCGGTGAGAGGGCTGGAGGGATGCAGGGCCGGGGGCGGGATGCAGGGAGCAGCGGGAGCTGTTGCGTCACTGCGAGGTCTCCGTCCCCGAAACCGCACAGGGAGCCCTGGGACTCACCCCCCTCCCCCAGCGGGACCCTCAGGACCCCCACCCTGAGCTAGCGGGGACTGCTGCACCCCAGGCCGGGGCTGAGGGCGGAGCAGGAACGTTCCCGGCTCCTGGATGCAGCGACCATTCCCAGCGGGGTCCCTCATCCCTGCCCGGCTCCCGCCCGCCCTTACCTCCAAGGAAATCGGCCTCTGCCAGAAGTTGCTGCTCAGGCTGCCCCAAGCCCTGCAGGTCTCCGGTTTTCATCTCGCAGCTCTCCTCGTACTTGGAGTAAAGCGGATCCGGGCAGGAGAAATCCATAACGTTGAGCATCTTCCCTGGAGACGCGGCCGGAGCAGGGGGGCCGGGCTGGGACGAGCCGGCGATGCTCGGGGAGAGCCGGGAGGCGCTCGGGATGAGCCGGGGAATGCCCGGGGACAGCCGCTGGATGCTCGGGGGCGAGGCGGGAGCTGCTCCGGGCGAGCCCGGGGATGCCCGGGGCGAGCCCGGGACGAGCTGGGAACGCCCGGGGTGCCCGCAGCGATCCGAGGGATGCTCGGGGATGAGCCGGGCCACGCTCGGGGGGCCCGCACGGGTCCGGGGGATGCTCGGGCCAGGTGCCGGCGACCCTGCAGGGGATGCTGTGGGGTGCTTGGGGCGGTGCGGGGCGGGCCGGGGGCCGGGGCGGGGGGCGCAGGCAGGGCCCGGCGGCGGCGCAGCCCGAGCGGACACCCGGAGCTCCCTCCCCGCCGCCCCCTTTATAGCGGGAGCGGGGCTGCTCCGACCTTCCGCCGCAGCCATTTCTGGAGTCCCCAGTGAGGCTGCCGTGACGTAAATGCCCATATATGGACTCAGGATGTAGGCTAGGGAGTCCCAATAAGGAAATCTCTCCCGTGACGCGATGCCCCTTCCCTCCCCCTTCCCTCCTCCCCTCCCCCTTTTCTCTCGCTCTGTTTTTCATTTTTTCCCCCCCTTCCTTCTCTCTTTTTAACTAATAATCGCGATATTTTTAACAGCTCTCTGCCGCTGTGTGCGCGCGTGTGCCCAGCATCCCCCCGCGGGTGTGCACACGCGTGTGCAAGCCCCGGCCGTGCAGGAGCCAGCCTGGCCCGCAGCCGTGGCTGCCCCGGGGCTCGGGAGGCTGCGGGGCATCCCCGCGGCTCCGGCCCCGGCTCCGCAGCCTTGGCTGCCGTCCCACCGTGGGCCGCTCCTCTCCCGGGTTTGCAGCTCCCCGGGAGCCCCGTGCTGTTTTTTCCCGTGAATGCCTTTTGTCGCTCCTGCTCCTTCTAGAAGCGCCAAAGGTGCCGGCTTGGCTCTTGCTCCCCCTTGCCTGCCCTGCCCGGCTCTCCCGGCCGCATTTTGGGTATTTCTGCCGGCGTGCCGGGCTGGCGGGTGCGGAGCGGGAGGTGGCTCCGGCTCCTGCTGCGGCGGAGAAGGCACAGAGCCCGGAGCCCCCCGGCCCTGCCAGCCCCCCGCTAACACCCAGCCCGGCGAGCGGCAGGCCCGGAGCTGGGCTGGGGAAGGGATCCATCCTCAAACCCTCCCCGTCTCCCGGGGAAAGCTTTCCGAGCGGGCTGATCCTGGCAGCGCCTCCGGCCCGAGCATCCTCAGCCCGGGCCGGGGATGAAGGCTCCGAGGGAGCCAGCCCGGGCCTGCCCTGCCCTGCCCTGCCGCTCGGGGATGCCCAGCGCTGCTTTGGAGCTGATCCTGGACAGCAGGGATGCTCTGGGGAGGGGACTGTCACCAGCCCGCGGCACGGCTGGGGCGGGAGGGGAAGGTTTGCTCTGGCATTTTGGCTGCTGGGCCCAAACCCGCTGTGAAGGATGCTCAGACAAATATTTGGGGTGTAAACCCCTGTTCGTACAGCACACGGCAGCTCCGGTGAGCTGGGTGTGTAGGAGGGGGGCTGTGCATGCACGGGGCTGGGGGAGAGGAGGGGGCCCCTCCCTGGCCTCCCTAAATTCCTGTTTCCCCGCCTCCAAGTGCTTACAGCCCTGCAGGCAGTGTCCCAGATGTGCCGGGGCCGTGGCCCAGATGTGCCGGGGCCGTGTCCCAGATGTGCTAGGGCCGTGCCCCGTGCCCAGGCCGTGCCAGGCCGGGCCCAGCTGGCAGCAGCAGGTGATCCCGAGCTATTCCTGGCTCCAGGGTGAGTCACGGCCTCCCCTCGGGCAGATCCCAGGGTTGGTGTCTGGCAGCACTCCCCTCGCTGGGGTTCTGCTGCCTCTGCAAACCCGCAGACCAGCACAGGGGCAAGGAGGCAGCAACCCCCCTGGGCATGCAGGGAATGCGCCTGAGGGTCGGGCTGCAAATAAAGAGGGGATGGAGAGGTGCAGGCAATGACCAGAGTGTGGAAATGCTCAGTGGCATCCCGGTCTGTCCCCTCACAGGAGATGAGGGGGGCCCAGGGCAATGGGTTTCAGTAAATCAAGGGCAAACTCACCCTGCAGTGCTCAGTGACCCTGGAATTTGGAGCTTCAGGACATCGTGGGGACCAGGAGGGAGACCAGGCTGGAAATATTCCCCTGTGGCCCTGCAGAGAAGCCCAGCCTGCAGTGAGGGATGTGCTGGACCCAGCCAGGGCGGGACCTGGGGCTCCTGGGTCTCTTCTCCACCTCTCCCTGGCTGCATCCCTGGGCAGCCTCCCTCGCTCTGGGGTATTTGGCTCTCAGGGGGGTCAGCCTAGAGGATGTGCAGGATCTCCAGGCTGGGCCTTTGCTGTGCACACCCTGGGACAGCTCCCCTTCCCTCCCAGACACGGAAAACACTGTCCCTCCTGTGGGGCAGCACCACGGGAGCCTCCCTGCACAGCCACGGGCAGCTCTCAGAAACCTCCCCGTGCCCTCAGAGCTGCTCTGAGACAGTGAAACAGTGGCAGTGCTTCAGCTCCCCGGGGAGGAGATCAGCCTGCACTGGGTGGGTTACAGCCTGCACGGGGGCTGCAGCTCAGAGAATCCCAGGATGGTTTGGGCTGGAAGGGACCTTAAACCCCATCCATGGGGCAGGGACACCTCCCACTGTCCCAGCTGCTCCCAGTGTCCAGCCTGGCCTTGGGCACTGCCAGGGATCCAGGGCAGCCACAGCTGCTCTGGGAATTCCAGCCCAGCCCCTGCCCACCCTCCCAGCCAGGAATTCCTTATTCCCAAGATCCCATCCACCCCTCTGGAGCGTGGATCTCATCTCCCTGCCCTCCCTCTCCTGCTCCATCCATCTCCCGTGCCAGGAAAACTTCCGGAAGAGCAGAGCTCGGCATTGCCATGGAAACCCCGGCCCAGCTCTTCCTGTGCCGCTCCTGGTGCTGCAGAGGATGCTCCAGAGGCACAGGAGCCACCTGGAGAGCTGGCCCGGGGCTGGGCAGGGCGGGGGATGCTCCAAGGGCAGGGGGGATCCTTCTCCAGGGGGGGCTTTCCAGGGGGATCCTTCTCTAGGGGGGATTATCCAGGGCTGATCCTTCTCCAGGGCTGATCCTTCTCCAGGGTTTTTTTCCAGGGGGATCCTTCTCCAGGGGGGATTTTCCAGGGGGATCCTTCTCCATGGAGGGTTTTCAAGGTAATTTTTCCAGGGGGGATCCTTCTCCAGGGGGATCCTTCTCCAGGGGGGGTTTTCCAGGGGGGATCCTTCTCCAGGAAGGTTTTCCATGGGGATCCCTCTCCAGGGGGGTTTTCCCCAGGCTGTCGGGGCAGCCTCAGCAGGTTCAGCAGCACTGAGGCTCTGTGGAACACTAAAAAGGGCTCTTTGTTTTGGCTGACTGGCCCCCAGGCTGGAATCTCAGAGCCCGGGCCAGGTCAGGGGCGATGGTTATCCCCTCCTGGTTTAGCTGGCTGCTCATCTCCACATCCTCCGGGTGCTCTGCTGGCCAGCACAGCTCTCCCTGCCCCCCAAGTCACCGATTCCTTCTCCTGCATCCTTGCTTTTCACCCCAAGCCGCTGATTTTGGGGCAAAACCCTGAGATGTGGCAGCTGCCTGCAGTTCTGCAGTGGCACTGAGTACAGGAATGGTGACCACCTATTTGTTTTAATTGACTCCAATAAAGCTTATCTCTAAGTAAAATCTTAGCTCCTCTAACATTTCTGAACTCCTTGAAGTTTGTGTTTGATAGGCAGGCAGCTTGGCAGAGCAGTGCTCCCACACAGGCAGCAGCCAGGACTGATCCCTGCTGCCCCAAACCCCAAACCCCAAACCCCAAACCCCAAACCCCAAACCCCGGAGGAGGGCACGGCTGCTCCTGGCCCCCCAAACCCCGGAGGAGTCACGGCTGCTCCTGGCAGCCCTGGCAGCAGCCGGGGGGCACAGCGGGGCTCCTGCCCCCTCCTGCCCCATGCCCAGGCCCCAGGGAGGGCTTTTGTGTGGTTCTGCACTCAGAAGGATCAGCCAGGAACCAGGCTCTGGCTCCAGCAAAGGCAGAAACTGCCGGGGACCATTTTCTCAGCTTCTTCCTGAAAGTGCTTCTAGCCCAGGAGCTCGTGTGCCTTGATAGAGTGGCTGGGAAGCTGCAGACATTTCCACGTCTTTCAGATTGAATGAAATGATTCATTGAGCCCCAAATAGGTCTTTCTTCATTTATCTCACACTGGTTTTAATCACCTCTAAACAAATTGTGCGTATTTTTAAATAAACCATGTTTTAAACCAAATCACTGGACGGCTTTATTTAGAAAAAGCCCAGAGCAAAACGCTGAACTTTAATTTTTTCATTTTCAGCTGCAGCTCCCCAACGAGCCCTGGGCATCGTTAGGATCCTAATTAGCTGCAGGCACCCAAAGCCCAGGGTGGATGGAAGCCACGAGGGCTGAGTGTCCTCCCTGGCTCCTGCTGCTCGGCCCCTGGCAGGGACCCAGGGGGACAGGGACCAGTGGGACAGGGACCAGTGGACAGGGACCAGTGGGACAGGGACCAGTGGGACAGGCTTTTGGGACAAGGACCAGTGGGACAGGGCTTTTGGGGCAGGCAGGGGCTCAGGGGCCCTCAGGGCTACCAGGAGAGAAGGTGGGAACTGCTGGGGTGGCACAGGTGTGCTGGGGACACTGAAGTGTGCAGGGATGGCAGGTGTTTTGGGGACACTGAGGTGCATCAGGATAGCACAGGTGTGTCGGAATGGCCCAGGTGCACTGGGGACAAAGAGGTGTGTTGGGGTGGCAGAGGTGTGTTGGGAACAATGAGGCGTGCTGAGATGACACAACTGTGTTGGGGACAGTGAGATTTATGGGGACAATGAGGTGTGTGGGGACAAAGAGGTGTGCTGGGATGGCACAGGTGTGTCAGGTTGGCACAGGTGTATTGGGAACAATGAGGTGTGACAGGATTAGAGAGTTTTTTGGGGACAGCGAGGTGTGTGG